TTTTGTTTCTTAAAAAAAAAAAAAAAAAAAAAATTAGGGCCAGGCTCAGTGGCTCATGCCTGTAATTCTAGCCAGCACTTTGTGAGGCAGAGGCAGAGGAAGGCAGATCACTTGAGCCTAAGAGTTCCAGATCAGCCTGGGAAACATGGTGGAAACCAATCTCTACTTTAAAAAATTTAGCCAGGCATGGTGGTACTCTCCTGTTATTAAAAAAAAAAAAAATTAAATTTAAAAGATAAATGAAAATCACCTAACATCAGTTTCCCTCCACTATATTAAGGTTATAAATATTTTAGTTTGGGTTTTAAATGTGTAGATATTAACACAAAATTCTTACGCTAGAAACAGACATAGTCCCAGCTCCTCAGGAGGCTGAGGTGGGAGGTCGGGAGGTCAAGGTTGCAGTGAGCCAAGATCGAGACTGCACTCCAGATTGGGTGACAGAGTGAGACTCTGTCTCAAAAAAACCAAAACCAAAAAATTTGAGTTGTTTATATTCAATGACACACATGATGATTAATGAGGAAGCAGAGGGTCAGGCATGGTGGCTCTTGCCTGTAATCCCAGCACTTTGGAAGACTGAGGCAGGTGGATCACGAGGTCAGGAATTCGAGACCAGCCTGACGAACGTGGTGAAATCCTGTCTCTACTAAAAATACAAACATCAGCCAGGTGTGGTGACACGCGCCTGTAATCCCGGCTACTCAGGAGGCTGAGGCAGGAGAACTGCTTGAACCCGGGAGGCAGAGGTTGCACATAGCCAAGATCAAGCCATTGCACTCCTGCCTGGGCGACAGAACGAGACTCCGTCTCAAAAAAAAAAAAGAGATAGCAAAAATGATTTAGCCCTCACATTGTCTAGTTAGGTAGATTGCTTAATATTTCAATAACTCAGTGGAATGACAATGGATTAGCTACCTCTAAAATCCCTTATAATTCTAAAACCTAGTGCTCTGAAAAAGAAATCAAGCCAGACATAGTGGCTCATGCCTGTAATCCTAACAGTATGGGAGGCCGAGGCAAAAGGATCGCTTGAGCTTGCGAGTTCGAGATCAGCTTGGACAGTATCGTAAGACCCTGTCCTACAAAAAAACAAAAAACAAAAAACAAAAAACCACCAAAATTAGCCACCCACTGGTAGGAGGATGGCTTGAGCTCAGGACAGAGAGGCTGCAATGAGCTGAGATCAGGTCACTCTACTCCAGCCTGGGCAACAGAGTGCGACCATTTCAAAACAAAAAAAGAAATGAAGTCACTCAAAAAAAATATTCATAATAGAACAAATGAATAGTAAAACTATAGTGAGATAGTTATCTATTTTGATTTGCAAACAGAATAGTGTATATTGTATGATATTGTCTAGATATATATATATATTTTATTTTTTTTGAGATGGAGTCTCACTCTGTTGCCAGGCTGGAGTGCAGTGTGCTATCTCGGCTCACTGCAACCCCTACCTCCCGGGTTCACGCCATTCTCCTGCCTCAGCCTCCCCAGTAGCTGTGACTACAGGCGTGTGCCATTATATTTTTAGTAGAGATGGGGTTTCACCACGTTGGTCAGGATGGTCTCGATATCTTGACCTTGTGATCCTCCCACCTCGGCCTCCCAAAGTGCTGGGATTACAGGTGTGAGCCACCGTGCCCAGCCTATTGTATTTTTTAAAAAAGAAAAAAATGTGTATGCCTATATTTGTCTACATAAGCATTAACTATCCATGGAAGTATTCACAAGAAATGAGTAACACTTGCCTTCATGAAATGTTCAGACTATGCAGTTGGGTCACAGTGCTGAGAAGACTTCTCACTTGTACCTTTTCCTACCCTTTGAATTAGGAACCACATGAATGTACAAAAGAAACTAAAATTTAAACGTGAAAATCACCTAATATCAGTTTCCCCCCACTATATTAAGGTTAAAACTTTTTAGTTTGGGTTTTAAATGTCTAGATATTAATACAACATTCTTACACTAGAAACACACAGACATACCTGAAATATGGCACATCATGGTGGGGCTGAGTTATTTGACCTTCATTTCTTTCAAGTGGTGGGACTTCTTTTATCGGAAGGCCATTTGAATTTTTAGTAGTAGCTTCGTTTTTATTTAAAACATGTTCTATAAATTAAAGAAAATCTTACATGTAAATTTCAAAGCGACAATTCCTAAAATGACAGCCCCTAAAAAGACATTTTAAATATCCTTCAATTCTTTCCAATGTTTAAAATTTTATTTCTACCTCAATCATTTAACTCACATTTCCTCTAAAGTAGCTCTCAATATTTTTTAATTTAAATTTACATTTATTTCCCCTCTCCTGTCTGTATTCTTCATTCCAACGATCTCTTCAGGTATCTTTACCCATGCTTTACTGTCTTTTCTGACCCTGAGTTCATATTCCCAAATGATATGGTGAAAAAGAGCTCCAAACAAATCTGACAAGTAATAATCCAGAAAAGTAAAAATTTAATTACTATACCTGAAAGCAAAATATTTTTTGTATTATTGATAAACATTATTCTAAAAAATGAATAAATTAATTAAATACTATACCTTCATGCCAAACTGTTAGAGGACCCAAAGGACATTGCAATTTATTTGAATCTTGCTGTATTGTCTTGGTAGAGTAAGTTTTACATTTTTGTGCCAATATTTCTTTTGTTGCTTCTTGAGACTCATCACTAAAAACAATAGCAAAAATATACTTCATGAAACATGAACTCCATATATCTAATATAAAGGGTTTCAAAATTGTGTCACTTTTTATAGATCTGGGCTAAAATAGAAATGTTTCTATTTTTTAAAAATGTGTATTCTGGAGGGGAGAAAATGTAAACACCTATAGTGTGAATGTCCATCTTTAGTAATTAATTGTAATGAGATTCAAATATTTTGAAGATTTCTTAACAGAACATAAACACTTAATAGTCTTAGATGATGCTGAGTAGTTTTTAGTATATTTGCTGCCAGCCAGTCTTTGCAAAATGATCTTGCCTTTTCTTTTAAAGGCTCCAACTGATTTTTCCATTGTTTTGCAAATTAATCATGTTTGTTTTCAGAGGCAGTTTCTCTAAATACTAAGCCAGAATAAGGAAAAAGTCGTATCTGAGTTAAATTAGTATAGCAATTTTCTTCTTTTGAAAAATGTATTTGTGTTATAATTAAGTCACTTATTAAAAACAAAAAAACCCAAATTGTATAGTGAAAATAACAATGCATAAGAAATATAAAAACTGTCAATTACATTATTGTACCTTCTGAAGAATTTTTTTTAAAGAAAAAATTTCATGATTCCTAATTAACATAGTTCACTAATAACTTTTTAAGAGCATAGACCAGGCCGGGCGCGGTGGCTCAAGCCTGTAATCCCAGCACTTTGGGAGGCCAAGACGGGCGGATCACGAGTTCAGGAGATCGAGACCATCCTGGCTAACACGGTGAAATCCCGTCTCTACTAAAATA